TTTAGGAGACAGGGTGAGAGAGTTTAAAAGAACCCTGAGAATCAGGGTAGAGGGGAGATTTATAGAGTCTAGCCAAGATATACCAGGTAAAAGAGTAGGTCTACCTTTGGTTTGTTGCCTGGCTTGCAGCTTAATGGACACCATATATAGCCTCTGATAATGTGAAATGATTTTGTAGTTCCTCACCCTATTTTCTCTCCAAAGGACAGCCTTGAATTTAAGTCACTTTGATTCACATCTAATATGCAGCCTACAGAAGAGAAATTTCTGTCTTCTGCTAATAGCAGCTGCAATGGGAACTTCTTTCAATATCCATTTGCCTGGGTTGAGTTTGCCCAGATCAGGAGCTAAGGGATACGATTTGCGATTTTGCCATGGTGAAGTGAGTCTGACATTTTTTGCTGAGAAGTCAGGCAGCTCCGGGCTAAAATTTTGGCTGTGTCACTTTACCCGAAAGACTGGCCTTGGGCAAATTTCCTAATCTGTCTTAAAATAAGAGTAAACATGACCTTTGTGATTGAAGTGATGATGTGTCTTAGTGAGCAATACCAAATTACCATGGACTGAGTGCTTAAAGAACAGAAATTTATTTCTTACAGTTCTGGAAGACTGAAAGTCCAAGATCAGGGTGCCAGGATGGTTGGGTTCTGGGACTTCTGGGGCCTCGGTGGTCTGCAGACTGTACATCTTTTTGCATCCTCAGGTGGTGAAAAGATGGTGAGAGAGCTCTCTGAGGTTCTTATTACAAGGGCACTAATCCTATTCATAAGGGCTCCATGCTCATGGCCTAATTATGTCCCAAGGGCTTCAACTCCTAATACCATTACATTGGGGGTTAGGATTTTAATTGTAGCTAGGATTTCAGTGACACACAAACATACAGTCTATTGCATGATGGGTATAATATGCTCACACAGTGCTTTGGCAGGGAATGCATGTTTTACACATGTTAGATTTTACGAATTCTAGCCCAGTCACAATAGTTTTACACATAACAATGGATATTTGTTCATTAATAAGTGAATGAATTTCCTCAGCACCCGTAGTGAAAGCTGGGCCTTAACTGAAGATGTCTTCCAGAATATCAGGAAAGTTATTCAGGCAGAAGGACCAGGCAATATGTGTGAACTGATCTTTTGTCTAATTTGCATGTTAACGATAGTGCCCAATGATAGTGACAGGATTCCAAATAACAGGAAGTAGGCTCAGTACATACAAATGGCATTTTCTTTAATTCTCACAAAAAAATTACCATCAAGTCTGTATTAGTGTTCTTTATAAAGAAGAAGAGGGTAAGCACACTGAAGTTAAATTCTTACCCAAAGGCTTCACAGCTAGAAAGTGGCTCTATTTGCATTTAAATCCAAAGCTGTCTAAATTTAGCACCTCCTTTCTACTCCATGGTGAGGGACTATGGGGAAGATTTGTGCTTGTGTTTAGAAGTGCCCATTGGAAAGCAGAGCACCTTTTGGGCCAGAGACAATCAATGCTGAGTTTCAGAGGAAGCAAACAGTTCAGGCCAGTAAGAGATGGACATGACTTATAGGGACACACAGGGGCCAGTGTCAGTGTAGAATGGCCTCCAGTAGCTGGGAGACAGCTTTTAAATGTTCAGGATATCTTTTCATCTCCTATGAAAGGAAAATCATTAGCCATGGAGTACAGAGGAAGGCTGCTCCCAGGAGACCCGAGCCTGCTTCACAGTCACCATGAAGTCCTAGACTTTGCCTTGTTTGCCGTGAGCCAGGCCTGGTGTGTAGTATGTGCCCAATAAACTTTTGTTACATGCATGAATGGATGATATTGACCCTAAGACCTTAATTCTGACTCGTAGGAAGTGTTAGGAGAATGCTTGCCCCAAGTGGTAGGCACTCTGCTTAGTGTTGCTGAGGAGGAGAAAACAGAAAGTAGTGTCTACTCTCTGGCTTCAAAAAGAAACAGTCAGGTATGAGTTTACTGCCTCCTTTTAGACTTAGGTTTGTAAAACAGGCTCTTATAAGGTTATTTATTTTCTGTTGGATCCTTGTCCTCTACAGTGGGGAAACCAAAAACAAAAAGCACCCCCTAATGCAGTACACAAATTGAAGCCTTTAAATGGAAGCAAGTGCTCTTTGCCAGAGTTGGAAATAATGTCATCAAATTGGGGAAAAAAAGACACAAAACAGCTGAACCTATTGAAATGTATTTCTTTACAGAGGATTTCTGCACTTTTACAAACTATAGTTTAGAAACCCAGATAGGTCAAATCGCGTAAAGAGTCAAACTCTATGTGAATTTGCAAGTCTCTCTGTTCCTCTGGGCTACTAGACATAGGCCACCATCCCTTCACAGTATTTGTTTTTCATATCTCCTTGAATGGCCAACGTTTCTTATTGATACACTAGCCTGGTGGGTTTGGGGTGGGGTGGAGACAGAAATGGGAGATGGAGGAGTGGAAAAGGTTGCTTTTGAAAGACAAGGTTTATAGGGCAATTTCATGTTCCCTTTTATTTATTTGGTACCAGGGATTGAACCGGGGGTGCTTAACCACTGAGTCACATCTCAATCCCCATCCCCCACTTTTTAATGTTTTATTTTGAGACAGGGCCTCCCTAAGTGGCTGAGGCTGGCTTTGAACTTTCGAACCTCCTGCATCAGATTCCTGAGCTGCTGGGATTACAGGGGTGCCTTACCATGTCTGCCACCTTTTAGCCTTTTACATTCAACTTTGGATCTTGTCTTTAATCTTGTATCGAATGACTTTCTGAGTAACATCTTAATACTTTAAAATAAATTTATATTTTACATAAGAGAGTATTTAAAAAAAAAACTCTTTGGTTGTGTTGTTCAGTAACAAAAAAACGATATTTTTATTTTTTTAACGCCTAATGCAGAGTCAATAGAGCAGACAATGTAAAACTTTTTAAAAAGTTGTCCCAGGACATCATGAGGCGGGGTGGCTTGTCACTGGTGTGTATTTAACTAGAATATTAATGAAGGGAAAAGCCTCAGTATTATTGTGGTTACAGCAGTTCTTTAAAACTTCACAGCTCAAAACAACATGTTTTAGATTACTGTTTACCTCCTCGAAGGAAACGGCTGTTTTGAGGCGACATCGTGAGACCAGCCTCATTATGCGCCACCATGACGGCACTCGTATCTCATAGAAATCTGAAATGCTTTAAACACATCCACATATTTTCACGGTGAGGGTTTCTTTGTGCAGGGCTGCCAAGCGCCGCTCCAGCCCCAGCATGAGATTAATTATTTACCAGAGGTCTCTGTTAATTACTAAAACAAATAATATACCACCCTTTGCAGGATAAGTGTGACTACTAAGTGGGGATCTTTAAAACCTTATTTTGGCTTCTACCATTTTAGGTGTTTCTTTCTTGTTCTGTAAGAGTTAGATAAGTACTTAAACTTCATTGCTTTGTACTAAAAAAGCATTTTTCTTTTGTAGGACTAGATAGGGTAGATCACCCAGAGGAGTGGATGGTGTCAGGAGGATTCACCTGGGTACTGGGAGGACACTTCCTTGGAAAGCCTGGGTCATCTGCATGAGGATATGTATTTGTTTTTTCCTGTCTGCAGATATGCAGAAATGTGGGACAAATCAGAAGTTCTACGGAGCTGATGTCTCAGGAGCAGCTGCAACCAGAAAAAGGGGGAATTGGTAGGTAGGGACCAGGGCTTCCTATCTCCCGAGGAGCTGGATAATTCTGAGGGAGGGTCCTTAGTGTCCCCTGCTTCTCCAGAGGGCTGGGGCTCAGGGCACTCACCAACTACCCAAAGCATTTTTGGTGTTTCTTTCCCTTCCCTCCCCCAGTTCTCAATTCCTGGTCTGTGTTTCTATAGGGTTCACTTCCCAGTTACTTTACTTGCCCTTGAATCTCAGGATGTACTTCTAAAGGAATCCAGAAACCCCCAGGAAAGATTTTTGAGCTAAGCAGAATGTGCTTGAGTTATACAGAACCTGCCTCAGCCTGTTTCGAAGAAACTTGTGCCTCTTTGTTGTTGTTGTTTTTCTTAAAATAGACCTTATTTTTCAGAGCAGTTTTAGTTGCATAGCAAAGTTGAGCTAAGAGTACAAAAAATTCCCGCATACTCTCTACCTCCACACAAGCACAGTCTCCTCCCACTGCCAACATCTGGCATCAGAGTGGCACATTGAGAACCTGCACAGATGCATCATTATCTCTTCAGCATCATAGTTGATACCAGGGATTCACTCTTGGTGTTGTACATTATAGATTTTGAAAGATGTCAAATGACATGTATCTATCATCCTCCTTGCATTTTCTTAAGAATCGATTCCATTTTTTTTTTAATTTTTTATTGTGGGTTGTTCAAAACATTACAAATTTCTTGACATATCATATTCCACACTTTGATTCAAGTGGGTTATGAACTCCCACCTTCATTTTTTTTAAAGCCTGAATTAATATTTAAATATCACCCTTTAGCTTTCCATCCTGAGCTGCTGCCAAGTCAGAGTGCCTGGTGATAATTTCTCACCTGCTGGCAGCATTGCTCTGACGGGAAAGCCATCCCTGAGCAGGTTGTTAGGGGTGGCGGCACATACCTAAATTTTGTAGGTATTGTCATATGTCTTGGGATTTTTAGTTGAGACAGGCTATGTAAATATTATCTATTATCATTACTAATAATTACCGGCAGCTGTAGTGGCGATAAAGCTAGTGTGCCACACGTCCCATATGGGAGCCTCCTGGGCCTTTGTGTTCACAGCAATGTGAACTGCAGTGAACTTGACTTGTCAGACTGCATCTCCAAGCAGAGAACAAAATCCCCATTGCTCAGAGATGACGGCCTGTTGTGCTTTCCTGCAACTCAATCCTCATTTGCACTTCCGAGAAGTTTTTTCCCCCACTCCTTTTCTGTTTTAAAAATGTAGAATGGAATAATCAGCCATAGTTCTTGGTGGGAGGTCCCCAGCGTTCTGCCCTAGATTTTCAAGCTGGCTGCCAGGCCAAGCCAGATTGTAGATGGAGAAGGTTTTGTTGTTGTTGTTGTTTTTAGTTAGCAATTTTCTTTCTTTCTTTCTCTCCCCCCTTTCTTTTCTTCTTTTCTTTTTTTCCCATCTGAATTACAGTGCTCACAGCTGCACAGCTTCAAAAACTGTACCTCCTCCCTGCTGGGCTGCAGGCAGGGAATTACTCTCCTGGGAACACTGACAGTTTAGGATGCAGGAACCTGCGCACCTTGCTGAATATCTCAGAAGCATTGATGTTCCAGTTCTGTGCAGCGTCTGTGAGTATTGGAAGTATTATGGAGTGACAGGTTTCTCTTTTATTCCTTCTTAAAAGTCCCTAGTTGTTTTACTTAAAGCAATTTTTATCTGGCCACGTGTTTGTGGGTTAGTTCACCTTGTCGATGAGCTGCCTCCCTTACTATCAGGGACATTGCTATCAGCTCTGTGCCTGGCACCCAGAGAGTGCTCAGGAAGCCATTTAAATGAATGAATGAGAAACTAAAAGTAATCCTGTCATGTGACCCACCTGCTGTCATTCTTCAGATGAGAAAAACTGAGGTTCAGTGAGGAAAATGGCTTCTTAAAAAATTGCAGAATGAAGTTCCAGGGAGAAACCTCAAAGGAAGTGCTTGAAATCTATAACGTGCTATGGAAATAGAAGATGTGTCATTTTCCTTCTGGTGGTGAGCTGGGCAAGGTGTCAACAGGCTGATGTGAGAAGCTAGGCAAGTTCCCCTCTATGGAGGTAACTCAGGTGCTGTGACAATTTTCAGTCTACCAGCCTGCCCAGGCTAGCCTCAGGGGCTCTTTAAGGGTGCATTTCCAGAGCAGGAGAGAGACATCTCCAATCTACTTCAGCCCAATTTCCATTTAAGTCTTCACTGCCCAGCTGCATGATCCACCAGCTGTCTTTCCAATAATGATACTTTCAAGTCACTGCTGATTTCCCAGGAAGTTAGATTTTGTTCGGCGGCTACCCTACCTGAAAAGGGGCTGATATGTTCTACAGAAATATTGGTTTCTATGAAATATGGTTGGAGGAATCAGCCGTCTCTGGGGTAGAAACTACACGCTTGGAAGGATATTAAAAAACGTCTTGGAGCTGGATGTGTGTAAAATGGAGAAGTGGCTTCAGTAAGGCCACTTTATTGAAGTGAGGTGGGGTCTTGAGATTCAGATTAAGGACCAGGTGCCAAGGCTTAGAAATGCCAATTAGAACAAGAAAAATGCATTAGCTATGACTTCAGTCTGTCAGGCTCTAGACAGACACGTAATAACAACACGGCTGTACCCTTAAGCCAGTTACATGTGAGAACGTTAGTTCCATTTTGGGAATCCATCCTTCTTTCTAGTTGGATTTATTTCCTCTTCTGCAGTATTTCCCATTTATAAAATGTTAATATATGTTTAAAAAAAAAACCCCTCTACCTCTGTGGTCAATTGACTTTTTGAAAAGGTAGGGTTCAACAAAGTAAAACAGGTTCAAACTCTTTGTTATGATAATATTCTTTGGGAATTTCCAAGAGCAGTTCTTCTCTATTGAATATTCCAAATTCTGTGATGATAGAGTCCTTTTTGGCACAGTATTTAGGAGGATTCCAGTTCTGAGAAGCATATCTTTGGAAACAATCTTTTGATGTTCTCCCAGGGTTCAGCCATTTGTGACTTGAACATCTCCTTGGCTCCCTTGGGTAAATTTTTCCTGCTGTGGGACTTGCAATTCTCATGGAAACTTTTCAACCATGTTTGTCTTTTTGCATTATCAGAATAAGCTGTTCCATAATAGCTATCAGTTTGTGTAATAGTTTAGATTCATCCAACTACTACTTGAAAGTTCAAGAATTGAACATCTAAATAGTTCAAATCATTTACTCATGATCAAATCATGTGTAACCGGTGTGAATGTGAATCTGCAATACGTATATAGGGTAAAAATGGGAGTTCATAATCCGCTTGAATCAAATGTATGAAATATGATATGTCAAGAACTTTGTAATGTTTTGAACAACTAATAAAAAAAAGAAAAAAAAATCATGTTCTTTCTTTGAATATACCTTGTACCATGCTAGGAGAACTTTGGTTACCTCTGTTTCAGAACTGCTTTTATAAGCTTTCTTACAATAGCACATATTGGAACCTAATGAGCTGTATACATAGAGTGGTTGAAAACAGTAATCTGTGATGATTTTTAAAAGTTTGACCTTACTTGCTTTTGTATCTGAACAATGGAGAAATGGGAATGCCAAAGAGGAAGAGATCACAGAAAAGTCAGGCTCTTTTGAATAATGAACCTACTTTTTCCACAGCCAGTTGCTGGGACTTGTAGATCAGGAAAGGTTTCACCTGTATGATGGAAAATGCCAGGTTCTGAGAGGAGCTGTTCCACAGATGCTCAGTGGGAGGTCCTCCTGGTGTATGCTTCTTTCCTGGCAGAAAGAGGAAGTACCAGAAAAAGGGCCTTTTGATGTTATTATCAGCAGTGCGGAGGCTATGGTGAGTTTGGGTTTGGTTTTAAAAGGGGAATGATAAACATCTCTCTAAGAAGGTCAGAAAGAAAGCTGCTTGGGGGCAGTTGAGAGGGAGGAAGAGACAGATTTGACATAGCTGTCCCTACCTCCCAAGGTGGCCCCAAGGGGCTTGGAAGAAAATCAAAGCAGGAATTCCCAAAGTGCGTGGTCAGGAAATTCTTGAGAACCAAGTTTTGTTTGGAGAATTGGACTTTAAGACATCATTGACTGCGCAATGAGATTCAGGTTGCAGGGAGTCTGTTATAGACAGGCTTACGTTGAATTGGAAATGGTCTGTCAATGGCTTCTCCTACAGTGCAGAAAGTCTAAACATCTCATATGTGTAACATCCAATCCAGAAGCATGTGCCTTATACAGCTTGTTCATTTTTGAAACCTCAGTGCTTCGTGCAGTGCTTTGCATGAACGAGGGAATTAATAAACATTTGTTGAATGAAAAAAATTAGGTTCCGATGTTGCAACTTCCTGGTTTAGAGTTTAAAGTCACCCTAGGGCCCTTGAGCCTCTTGTTTCTTTTTACCTCTTATGTCTCCTGGTGAAAATCTGATAATTCACCAGAACATCCTTTTATTGTTCAATGCAGAAATCTGGCAACCTTAACATCTTTGCAATTATAAAGATAAAGTTGATGTTGCAGGCCCTGGAGAACAATGGTAAAACCACAACGGCCTCTTCTGTGTGACAGAGAAGCTAGGGAAGGACCCTGCTGGCTGAACTTGCCGCCACTGTTTGATAAACCAGTTACTGGAGACACAGCAGCCAGATGCCCGGGGGAGAAGCTCCTCTGTGATGTGGTTTTGAGAACATTCTGGTTTTTCACTGTGTTTCCTCCACTGAATTCCAATAGCACCTTCTTTGTACTTTCCTGACATCACCTCACTTGGGAAAGAGCAGGGGGTTAGGAACTGGAATTCCTGGTTTAAAGGCAGGTTTCTGCCCCCTTGCCAATGGATGTCCTCAGGAAAGTTATTTGACTGTACCATTTATCAGGGCTGTCCTGATAAATTGGGATGATAAGAAGCCTCTTATCTCACAGCACTTAGGAAACAACTAAGCAACAATACTTTTCAAATCACAAGGCAACTTGCAAATGTTAATTTATGGAATATCTCGTTTTATACTTAATTTTAGACACTCCTGCTTCATTGTTCATACAATGTTTGGAATCACAGTGAAAGCAGGGCCCTATTGATAATATATATGTATGCCCACGTATGCATACGTAAATACATACACCGATATATGTACATATGTGTATGTGTGTGCATGTAAATATAGATATAAATATACTTACATATTTATTTATTTGTTGATATCACTCATAGTATCTAGCTGGGAGATTTACATAAAACAATTGCATATTAGGTTGGTACTCTGATAGAACTAGCATATTAACAAGACTGGATCTGGGAACCATGTTTTTTTTTTTTTTGCCAGTTTGAAAAAATTTGTGGCTTTTGGAGTTTGAGGAGGTTGGGAACAGGTAGAGGTGGAAAGAGAGTAGCAGGTAAGTGACATCAGAGGTTTAGTAAGTCTTGGTCATTCCTTCTTTTGAAGACAAGTAGGAAAGGGCTGACTGGCAGGGCTACTGGAAGGGCTCTTAAGAAGGGGAGTGACTTCTTTTGTAGATGACCAAGTTTGTCCCGTCACAGATGGCAAACATGCCGCTGTTTGAGAAATCCTGGGTTTTATAAGCCATCAGTGCCAGATGAGAGGAACACCTGAGGATTTGGAAGAATCAAAATGCTTATTCCCTGTGGATGTTTGAAGGGGAATCCTAGGTTCACTTGTCGAGGGAGGGCAGATGCTTGCACTCTGTCCAGCGACCATCAGGGCAATGGTGGGTGAGCTGAGAAATTTACGCTGCTGAGCTCCAGCCACATTTTAGGATCAGGTATGCATTTGGAAAAGCTGATGATTTTAGAAAGCTCCACAGTTGTCTTTCCAGTTTTAATGAAGGTCAACGGGATCCATTAAAGAGTCAGGGCTTAAGTGTCCCTCCTATCTCACAAGGCAACTCAGAGATGGTTTAATAGTCAATGACAGTGACTCTCTGAAGCTTCAAACTGGGCGTTACCAGGCCTCATTAAAGAAGGTCCAGGCCCCGTGTGCCTGACAAGCTCCTTTTCTTTTTCTGGAAGGAGACTTGTTTCTGTATCTGCTGCATTATCCTTTGTACCAGAGGTTGGCATCTCTGCCTGGGAGTTCTCTCCTGTGGGTTTGGGTGTGGCTGAAAGACAAAGAGGAGCATTCCTCCTGGCTGCCACCCAGCTGCCTCTCTACTTCCAGTGGCAGCAGAACACCTGTGGGAAAGTCATGGAAGACCAGAGGGGACTGGAAGGAGGGGAGTCTGTCTCAACACCTCCCCGCCCAGGCTTACAGGCTGCTCTGCACTCTCTGTGTTCAATTATCTCACAAGATAATCACACTCATTCTTTGATTTCAAAGGCTCAACCTCCCCTGATATGAGTTCATGCGTGTTATGATTACTTGTTGGGTTGTTTCTGCTTCCTTTCATATGTTGATCTGAGCTGAGGTCTTCCACCTTCAATGGTAAGCCCACAGCCACAGCGCTCACCTTTGACTGGATCCTGCCTGTCATAATGCACATGGCCTGCAGAGGCTTATTCATCCCTGTGATCTCGCAATGACGTTGCTGCTCCAGTACTGCCTGTGTTTGTTGCTCAAAAAAGATTTGGGGGTAGGACATTGAATAATGCCAGACTTATATGTGTGCCAGGAAAGTAAAAA